TTGGATCGTATTATAACTCGTTGGAAAGATAGATCGGAGCTCTAAAGATATTGTTCCAACATCATTTACAATGCATTATTTAAAAGTTACAGATTAACCATATATTAACAAATGTTTCTGATTTCACTCCGAACTCGTGAAGAATTTGAGGCGATCACATCTTGCTCTATTTTGTACCGTTGAAAGCGTTTAATATCTCGTTGGAAAGATCTTACCGAGTTCTAAAACTTTTCTTCTGGCGCTGGTTTCAATTTTTTTTTGGATAACATGTAAATATATATATATATATATCCAAAGTGTTTATGTACAATATATGCACACCATTACAAAAAAGACCCTACGGCATTCCTAGGGTGAATGCCTCCAAAAACAAGTTCTGTATGATAGCTAACCATGAGGGTTAGCTACCCACCCCAAAAACAGCCATCAAGCTATGACAAAAATGAGTGATATCCAGCACAAGTTTCAGAAAGTAATCTTATGCATCGGATACGAAAGATATAGGATTTTATACACCATATACATAATTCTTGACACCATGTCTTCAACCTTGGCCGTAGCTTCATAAAAACGAATAGCTTTTCTAATCCGCCAAGTCCAATACACCGTGTAGCATAGGGCAATTCGTATAGCCTTTGCTTTAACATTTGCTCAGCCATGCTCCTCTTTTATCCATTTGATCGCACTCTTCAATGTGGTCATATGTCTTCGGATTCCTAGCCATTGCCTTATCTTTGCCCAAACCTGACCTGTAATGTTACAATCAAAAAATAGGTGTGCCACCGTCTCCGGTTCACCCTTGCAAAACGGGCATTCGTTAACAACATTAAGGAAAACCAAGTTATCATAAGTGGGTAACCTATTCCGCAAAGCTAACCACATTATGAATGAGAACTTGGGAGGTATATAAGGCTTCCAAATAAATGACATCCACACTTTTGGTGCGGCTTTCATTCTTAGCAAATCATACACCTTAGATGTATCAAGTTTACCATTTATCAAACTCCTATTTAGGAATTCTAAGGTCATATCCATTGTAGGAAATTTGGAGACAATACTATCTCGTACCAAGACCAGCCTTTTCATTAATTGGGAGTCCCTATTGTGTGGCACGAAGGTCCACACATCTCTTCCATGAAGATAGACTCCATGCACCCATCGGACCCAAAGTCTATCCTGTTTGGAATGGATATTCCATAAGGTCCAAGAGAGGAGTGCATGATTCCATATTCTAGCATCATTGATACCCAGCCCTCCCTCATCCTTGGGAAGACACACATCTTCCCAAGCCACCTTTGAAAACCCCCCCCCCCCCCCAAAGAAACACACGACATAGACCAACAATCCTATCCAGTATAGTTTTTGGTACAGGAAAGATACCCAACCAGAATGATTGAACACCTTGCATGACCGACCTTATCAATTCCAGTTTACCTGCATATGAAAGAGATTTAGTATTCCAAGCATTAATATAATCCGTAACTGTATCAATCAGAGGAGAGAATTGGGCTACCGATATCTTTAATGGGGCCAATGGGATGCCTAAATATCTAACCGGGAATTGGTGCTGGTTTCAAAATATCAAGGGATGATTGCCCAATTACTGAAATACACTGTATTTACGCTAAAAGTGCTCTATTTTCGCTGAAAACGCTAAATCATAGAGATAAGGCTAAGCATTTGTGACACTCATATCTTGCTGTGTGTTTATCCGTTTGGAGCGAATTATATCTCGTTAAAAAGATAGATCGGAGCTCTAAATCTATTGTTCAGACTTAATTTACAATTCATTAATTAAAATTTACATATTAACCATATATTCACAAATGTTTCTGATTTCACTTCGAACTCGTGTAAAATTTGATGCGATCATATCTTGCTCTATTTTGTGCCGTTGAGAGCGTTTAATATCTCGTTGGAAAGCTCTTACCGAGTTCTAAAACTTGTCTTCAGGTGCTGGTTTCAAAATATCGAGGGATGATTTCCGAATTACTAAAATAAACTGTATTTACGCTAAAAGTACTCTATTTTCGCTGAAAACGCTAAATCATAGATATAAGGCTAAGTATTTGTGACACTCATATCTTGATGTGTGTTTATCCGTTTCGAACGTATTATATCTCGTTGGAAAGATAGATCGGAGCTCTAAAGCTATTGTTCCAACTTAATTTACAATGCATTAATTAAAAGTTACAGATTAACCATATATTCACAAATGTTTCTGATTTCACTCCAAACTCGGGTAGAATTTGATGCGATCATGTCTTGCTCTATTTTGTGCCGTTGAAAGCGTTTAATATCTCGTTGGAAAGCGCTTACCGAGTTCTAAAACTTGTTTATTAGGCGCGGGTTTCAAAATATAAAGGGATGATTGCCTATTTACTAAAATACACTGTATTTACGCGAAAAGTGCTCTTTTTTCGCTGAAAACGCTAAATCATAGAGATAAGGCTAAGTATTTGTGACACTCATATCTTGCTGTGTGTTTATCCGTTTGGAGCGTATTATATCTCGTTGGAAAGATAGATCGGAGCTCTAAAGCTAATGTTCCAACTTAATTTACAATGCATTAATTAAAAGTTACAGATTAACCATATATTGACAGCGTTGACAGCTAATGTTTCTGACTTCACTCCGAACTGGTGTAGAATTTGATGCGATCATATCTTGCTCTATTTTGTGGCGTTGAAAGCATTTAATATCTCGTTGGAAAGATATTTTCGAGTTCTAAAACATGTCTTCAGGCGCTGGTTTCAAACTATCGAGGGATGATTGCCTAATTACAAAAGTACACTGTATTTACGCTAAAAGTGCTCTATTTTCGCTGAAAACGCTAAATCATAGAGATAAGGCTGAGTATTTGTGACACTCATATCTTGCTGTGTGTTTGTTCGTTTGGAGCATATTATATCTCGTTGGAAAGATAGATCGGAGATCTAAAGCTATTGTTCCAACTTCATTTACAATGCATTAATTAAAAGTTACAGATTAACCATATATTCACAAATGTTTCTGATTTCACTCCGAACTCGTGTAGAATTTGATGCGATCATATCTTGCTCTATTTTGTGCCGTTGAAAGCGTTTAGTATCTCGTTAGAAAGATCTTACCATGTTCTAAAACTTTTCTTCAGGCACTGGTTTCAAAATATCCAGGGATGATTGCCTAATTACTAAAATACACTGAATTTACGCTAAAAGTGCTCTATTTTCTCTGAAAACGCTAAATCATAGAGATAAGGTTAAGTATTTGTGACACTCATATCTTGTTGTGTGTTTATCCGTTTGGAGCGTATTATATCTCGTTGGAAAGATAGATCGGAGCTCTAAAGCTATTATTCAAACTTCATTTACAATTCATTAATTAAATATTACAGATTAACCATATATTCACAAATGTTTCTGATTTCACTCCGAACTCGTGTAGATGTGATGCAATCATATCTTGCTCTATTTTGTGCCGTTGAAAGCGTTTAATATCTCGTTGGAAAGCTATTACCGAGTTCTAAAAATTGTCTTCATGTGCTGGTTACTAAATATCGAGGGATGATTGCCGAATTACTAAAATACACTGTATTTAAGCTAAAAGTACTCTATTTTCGCTGAAAACGCTAAATCATAGAGATAAGGCTAAGTATTTGTGACACTCATATCTTGCTGTGTGTTTATCCGTTTCGAGCGTATTATATCTAGTTGGAAAGATAGATCGGAGCTCTAAAGCTATTGTTCCAACTTAATTTACAATGCATTAATTAAAAGTTACAGATTAACTATATATTGACAAATGTTTCTGATTTCACTCCGAACTGGTGTAGACTTTGATGCGATCATATCTTGCTCTATTTTGTGCCGTTGAAAGCGTTTAATATCTCGTTAGAAAGATATTATCGAGTTCTAAAACATGTCTTCAGGCGCTGGTTTCAAATTATCAAGGGATGATTGCCTAATTACTAAACTACACAGTAGTTACGCTAAAAGTGCTCTATTTTCGCTGAAAACGCTAAATCATAGAGATAAGGATAAGTATTTGTGACACTCATATCTTGCTGTGTGTTTATCCGTTTGGAGCGTATTATATCTCGTTGGAAAGATAGATCAGAGCTCTAAAGCTATTGTTCCAACTTCATTTACAATGCATTAATTAAAAGTTACAGATTAACCATATATTTACAAATGTTTCTGATTTCACTCCGAACTAGTGTAGAATTTGATGCGTTCATATCTTGCTCTATTTTGTGCCGTTGAAAGCGTTTAATATCTCGTTAGAAAGATATTTTCGAGTTCTAAAACATGTCTTCAGGCGATGGTTTCAAAATATCAAGGGATGATTGCCTAATTACTAAAATACACAGTAGTTACGCTAAAAGTACTCTTTTTTCGCTGAAAACTCTAAATCATAGAGATAAGGCTAAGTATTTGTGACACTCATATCTTGCTGTGTGTTTATCTATTTGAATCGTATTATATCTAGTTGGAAAGATAGATCGGAGCTCTAAAGCTATTGTTCCAACTTCATTTATAATGAATTAAATAAAAGTTACAGATTAACCATATATTCACAAATGTTTATGATTTCACTCCGAACTCGTGTAGAATTTGATGCGATCATATCTTGCTCTATTTTGTGACGCTAAAAGCGTTTAATATCTCGTTGGAAAGATCTTACCGAGTTGTAGAACTTGTATTCAGGCGCTGGATTCAAAAATTTATTATACCTGTCCCACACAAATAGGAATAACACAAAACTTTACTCTTCAACATTCCAGAACAAATTTAAAAAATAAAAAATAAAAATCCCATTTGGTGAGGGTTATAACTTATAAGGCTGAAATTGTTGAATTGAACTCTTGAATGTTCAATAACATCACTTTTGCGAATAAGTAGTCAGAAGCTATGAATTCCGCTTAAAACTTGTTGCTTCGCATTTGATTAGCACAACAAGTGGCCTTAGGCTGCCAAAGGAAGCCTATATGTTGTTATTATCTAAGAGAAGGAGAAACTTACAGTGTCAAAAATGTACTGAAAGTGTACCAAACAAGTATAAAGAACAATGTCTTGAGAACATCAGAAACAGAAAAAGGACTTCGGGAAAGCTGCTTTGATGGGTCATGGTAGCTTAGGTATCTATCATCCCCCGTGGGTTCTGAATGCTTCAGATCATTAGGGGAACCATCCTCTACGTCAAAAGGCACATAACTCTCTTTTCCATGCCTTGCAGTCACATCGCCCAGGTCAACACCGCATGTCATTCTTCCCAAAATGCTATAGCTAAACTGGTGTCTTTCAGCCTCTAACGATGTATTTGCTACGTCACTCTCAGGTTGGTGAATGAAAGGCAATTCAAAATCCAAATCTTCAGTACCGTTGTTCGCATCCCCCAATTCAAGTGAATGAAGTGTTCCCTTCTCATCAAACCAGCCGGAGAACAAAGGATCCCTTCGAAAAACGGACACCTGACCTCCACTTTGACCGACCTCAAGCTTCTGTGAGGGCAACTCACTTTCTACCATCTCAGAGCCATATCTCCATCTATTACATCAGCGAGACATATTCCAATCAAGCGATCACAGCTAGACTCTCGCCGCAGCAAGCTACTCCGAATAATAATCCAAGTTACCCGCGACAAAGCAACAAAGAAATTCCTCGCCTTTCCACCTAATTAATACTCCGTAACTTTAACCAAGTTTAATTCCAAAAAGGAAGAATTTCAATGAAATGAAGCACAGAAATGAAAAACTGAAACGAATTTATAAAACTCAGGGATCAGAAAAAGCAAAGCAAAATGTAGCAATGGAACTCACCCGAGTTCCGGTGGAGCTGGTTTGGGAAGAGTGTCTCCAAAAAAAAGATGAAAATGGACAGGTTTGAGGGTTGTTTGGAGGGATCAGGTCAGAATCCAGATCTGTTATGTGGAAGAATGATAGGGAGGGAAGGAGTCAAAGGAGCTGGTATGACGTCTTTTGTTTAGTCGTTGTCTTGTGTTGATCAAGTTCGGTTTATGTCTAATCTAAATCTAACGTTTGTAAATAAAAATGAGTGAAATTCATAACAATAAATCTAGTTTTAGAAATTCTACCATAATAATTCATATTCAAATTATTTTTGCTAATAATCTGAATTAGCAATGGATTTCAAAGGAATAAATTGAAATGAATTTAAATTAATGTCTGTTTATGTTGGTAGGAAATAACTCAGGTAGACAAACTAGCAGCATTTCAGTATCGTCAAAATAACTTCCCCGAATACAAGGGGTTGATGGCCTATTTATAGACGTATACAATATGGCCACCAATTAAGTGCTACGTGGGTTTGGCTCGATTAATCTACTAATACTGACGCTAATGGGCCAGCCAGCCAAATAAGTAATTAAATAATCTCGGACCAATATCCGCTAGCCGGACTGTGATCTGAGCTTGGTCGGGCCAAAGCTCGGGTGTAACGGGCCGATAGTCTTGGACCTGGCCCATTATCCCAACACGAGTCCCCCACTCCCTTAGTCGAGTAATAGACTCAGCTAAAAGGGGGTAGTTAAGCTGTTTTGGAATTGGTTCAATTCTTGGTCCGGTCGGTCGGTCGGTCATTGGTGAGCCTTCAATTGGATCCAATTGCTTGTGAAAGAATGAAGTCTTTCTTGTTCCGACCGGGAGACCTCTTCCTTTGTTCATGATGATGGGGTGCCTCATTAAAACCTTACTAGGAAAAAACCCAGTGGGAAAAAATCCCAGTGAAGGAAAAAGAGTACACCGGAACCTTAAAATAAAGCAAAGGAAGGCTAGTCTCCTCGGTTCTTGATTGAGTGTCTGCTTTACTGGTAAGTTGAGATATGTTCTGGGAAGGCCAGTCCTACGGTTGTTTGCCAGTGGTGGCGGTCGAGCCAAGGTATGCTCGGGAGAGACCAACTGTACAGTTGTATGTTGATGACGTAGAACCGAGGTGTGCTCGGGAGAGCCAGCGGCTCAGCTGTCTATCGATGATGCCGAGCTGAGGTGTGCTCGGGAGAGGCCAGCAGCTCAGTTGTCCGCTGATGATGATCAGGCGAGGCATGCTCTGAAAGAGCCGGTTGCACTTTGTCCACATCATTCCCCGCTGCTTGCGAAAGGATTTGGTTTCCTTCGTCTGGGTAGCAGTCCGGGTCTTGTTTGTTCGACCAGCAGTCCGAGGTCTTGTTTTTCAGATTAGCAGCTCGAGGTCTTGTTTCTTTGACTAGCAGCTCGGTGTATTGTTTCTCCGACTAGCAGCCCGGGGTCTTGTCTATCCGATTAGCAGTCCACGGTCTTCTTCCAAATTCAGCAACAAGGTGAGCCCTCCGGCCACTGCATGCAGCTGCAACGATCGCCATCTACTAAGGAAATGGCAAAGACCGGTCTTCACTTGTGAACAATGCTCGTCTGACGTTCTCAGAAGGATGCTATGAGTAGTCCACCATGATAAGTAGTCCCTGTTGATTGCTATTACTACGGTGTCATTTGTCGTTTAAGTTTCCCCAGGATGGATGTAAGATTCAAGACTGAGAGCGATGCTTGGAGGGGGACTCCCTAATGCAGAGCAAGGGAGCGATGCTTGGACGACCCCTTGAATTGATTCAAGGAAAGAGAGCAATGCTTGGGTGACTCATTCCTTGTCGTTTGTTGAATCGGTGAGAGAGTTCTTTTGCAGGTCCGCTCATTCATGCCAGTGATCGGAGGGTTGCACCTATTTTCTCATGTGACGAGGAGCCCAAGGTGCCCCCCACCTGCTGCGATTTGACGACGGTCGGAGTGACATGTCATCTTAATGGTCTCCGAACATCAAGGATGGTGAGAAAGACGGGACTTCCACTTTCCTTCATCTTGATGAATGATTGTTGACGAGGGTAGCATGTGATTGCATTTGGGCCTCCAAGCTATGCATCGATCTGTGCCTCTCTAACATTGTGAGAGCATCGCTTGATCGTAGGTGGTTAATCTGTAACTTTTAATTAATGCATTATAAATGAAGTTGGAACAATAGCTTTAGAGCTCCGATCTATCTTTCCAACGAGATATAATACGCTCCAAACGGATAAACACTCAGCAAGATATGAGTGTCACAAATACTTAGCCTTATCTCTATGATTTAGCGTTTTCAGAGAAAATAGAGCACTTTTAGCGTAAGTACACTGTATTTTAGTAATTAGGCAATCATCCCTTGATATTTTGAAACCAGAGCCTGAAGACAAGTTTTAGAACTCGGTAAGAGCTTTCCAACGAGATATTAAACGCCTTCAACGGCACAAAATAGAGAAAGATATGATCACATCAAATTCTACACGAGTTCGGAGTGAAATCAGAAACAATTGTGAATATATGGTTAATTTGTAACTTTTAACTAATGCATTGTAATGAAGTTGGAACAATAGCTTTAGATCTCCGATCTATCTTTCCAACGAGATATAATACGCTCCAAACGGATAAACACACAGCAAGATATGAGTGTCACAAATACTTAGCTTTATCTCTAAGATTTAGCGTTTTCAGCAAAAATAGAGAACTTTTAGCGTAAATACAGTGTATTTTAGTAATTAGGCAATCATCCCTTGATATTTTGAAACCAGCGCCTGACTACAAGTTTTAGAACTAGGTAAGATCTTTCCAACGACATATTAAACGCTTTCAACGGCACAAAATAGAGCAAGATATGATCACATCAAATTCTACACGAGTTCGGAGTGAAATTAGAAACATTTGTGAATATATGGTTAATCTGTAACTTTTAATTAATGCATTGTAAATGAAGTTTGAACAATAGCTTTAGAGCTCAGATCTATCTTTCCAACGAGATATAATACGCTCCAAACGGATAAACACACAGCAAGATATGAGTGTCACAAATACTTGGCCTTATCTCTATGATTTAGCGTTTTCAGAGAAAATATAGCACTTTTAGCGTAAATACAGTGTATTTTAGTAATTAGACAATCATCCCTTGATATTTTGAAACCAGCGCCTGAAGACAAGTTTTAGAACATGGTGAGATCTTTCCAACGAGATATTAAACGCTTTCAACGGCACAAAATAGAGCAAGATATGATCGCATCAAATCTACACGAGTTCGGAGTGAAATCAGAAACATTTGTGAATATATGGTTAATCTGTAACTTTTAATTAATGCATTGTAAATGAAGTTGGAACAATACATTCAGAGCTCCGCTCTATCATTCCAACGAGATATAATACGCTCCAAACGGATAAACACACAGCAAGATATGAGTGTCACAAATACTTAGCCTTATCTCTATGATTTAGCATTTTCAGCGAAAATATAGCACTTTTAGCGTAAATACAGTGTATTTTAGTAATTAGGCAATCATCCCTTGATATTTTGAAACCAGCGCCTGAAGACAAGTTTGAGAACTCGGTATGGTATTTCAAACGAGATATTAAACGCTTTCAACGGCACAAAATAGAGCAAGATATGATCGCATCAATTTCTACACGAGTTCGGAGTGAAATCAGAAACATTTGTGGATATATGGTTAATCTGTAACTTTTAATTAATGCATTGTAAATGAAGTTGGAACAATAGCTTTAGAGCTCCGATCAATCTTTCCAACGAGATATAATACGATCCAAACGGATAAACACAGAGCAAGATATGAGTGTCACAAATACTTAGCCTTATCTCTATGCTTTAGCGTTTTTAGCGAAGATAGAGCACTTTTAGCGTAAACACAGTGTATTTTAGTAATTAGGCAATCATCCCTTGATATTATGAAACCAGCGCCTGAAGACAAGTTTTAGAAATTGGTATGATGTTTCCATCGAGATATTAAACGCTTTAAACGGCACAATATAGAGCAAGATATGATCGCATCAAATTCTACACGAGTTCGGAGTAAAATCAGAAAGTGAAGTCCTCAGATAGCATTTTCAAAAAAAGTAACCTACCAAGGATATTATAAGGACCTTCGGTAAAAACCTTAGTTCTAACCTGCTCATTCTTAAATTTAAAAACCACCCATCCCTTTTTATGAGATTGCAAGGTACAGTGTACACCCCAGCTATTCACAAGCTCATAAATCGCTTTAAGCCCCGGGAATCTACCTGTGAAGCATCCAACTAGGCAAAAACCCCACAACGAGACCATAGAAGGTAACACACATTTTGAAAGATCAACAACTTCATTATCAGAAGGTAGGTATTTTAATTTAATACCTTTAGATTGGGCACGATTGTCTCCAAATAAATCTGCCCATTTATGGTTATTTCCAGCATGTTTGGCAGCAGAAGCTTCATCATTTGGCCCAAGGTAGGTGGCCATATTCCAAGCACCAGTTGGCTTTTCTGCAGGAGGTGGTAAGGTCTCAGCAGCAGTTTGCTTCTTGGCAACAGGTGGTAGTCCTACTGCTGTAGCATCCTTCTCACAAGCCACAGCCGTACTCCCAAGGGGCTGTATTTCCTGCGCAGGAGTCTTCACAGTTTCAACCTCAGGAGGCAGTTCACGCTCAGGCAGCTTCCCAGGCTTACGCAGCGAGGTAAGTTGGGGGAAATTTTCATCAAGCCCATCAAGTAAAGCGAACCTGGGGGAGGACCTGGTTAATTTCGCAGCACCAGAATCGCTCTGTTTTCTCCCCATTTGATCTGCTACACAGAAAGAACGAAAAGCTTCGTCGCAGGCCCTATTCTTGATACGGCGAAACCCAAAAAGTTTTCAGAAACCAGAATCGCTCAACATTAACTGAAAATCGAACAACAATCTAAAAGCAGACGACTACAGAATCGCTCTTCATCGATTATGAACAGTGAATATTCAGTTCGAATCCGAGCAAAAAGCCTAAAAACATGAAACGAATTACAAATCCAGCTTCGGAAGTGAGCTCAGCGGTGATAGTCGATCATGAAACATCAAGAATCGCATCTCAAAAACATCGGTAAGCCATGAATTCACTTCGCAGTACCTGTACGGATGAGAAGAAAGCTGGGAC